CCTCCCACCCTCCCTACCCCACCCCTCTAGGTGGACACAAAGCACCGAGCTGATCTCCCTGTACTATGCATCTGCTTCCCACTATTTATTTTACATTTGGTAGTGTATATATGTCAATGTCACTCTCTCACTTCGTCCCAGCTTACCCTTCCCCCTCCCCATGTCCTCAAGTCCATTCTCTACATCTGTGTCTTTATTCCTGTCCTGCCCCTAGGTTCTTCAGAACCACTTTTTCTTTTTCGATTCCATATATATGTGTTAGCATACTGTATTTGTTTTTCTCTCTCTGACTTACCTCACTCTGCATGACAGTCTCTAGGTGATCTTAGCTTCTTAAACATAAAGAAGACAAATGTAATAACTGTTTTAATGTCTTTGTCTAATTTTATCATCCGTGTCTTTTCTGGGTTGGTTTTAATTGACTGATTTTTCTTATTATGAATTATATTTTCCCTACTTCTTTTTACAACTGGTTATTTTGATTAGATGTTAAGACACAATGAATTTCATCACCTTTTTGAGTGCTGCATATTTTTTATTCCTTTAAATATTCTTGAGCTTTGTTTTAGGACACAGTTACTTAGAAAAAGTTTTATCCTTTCAACCTCGCTTTTAAGTTTTGTTAGGCGAAACCAGATCAGCATTTAGTCTAGGCCTAATTTTGTACCACTACTGAAACAAAACCCTTCTGAGTACTCTTGTTGATGCGCTGTGAATTATGAGATTTTTTTCCACTTTGGCTATTGGGAACAGGCACAATTCATAGTATTGAGGGAGCTCTAGGAATTCTTTCCTCTAATTGTTTAGGTTGTTTTTCCTCCCAACCTTCGGTAGTCTCCTCACACCGGTGGTAATCAATACTCAGCTTAAGACTAGAGAGGACCCTCTGTAGATCTCTGGAACTCTGCATAGCTCTTTCCTCTCCAGTTCTCTGCCCTAAGAGTTCTGGCCACCTTAGCCTCCTTATAGTCCCAGCTCTACCTCCACAACTCATGGTGCTTACTAGGCTCCACCTGGATTCCCCTTCCCTACATCATATACTGGAAACTTTCTCCAGGCACTAAGCTGAGGCAATTGTAGGGCTCACCTCATTTGTCTCCTGTCTCTCAAGGATCACTGTCCTTTCTTGCCTGCCATTCAATATCTTGAAAACCACTGTTTCATATATTTTGTCCAGGTTTTTAGTTGTTTTAGGCCGAAGAGTAATTCTAGTCCCTGTTACTCCATCTTGGCTAGAAGCAGAAGTCCTAAAAGCTACTAAAATTTTCCAAACAGGGAAAGTTGCTTAAAGGGTAAATGGAAAATCATGATAAAGTAGATGGGACCTAACTATATTATTGTTTATATTTAAGGAAAGGAAAGGAAATTTTACATATGCAGGTAACTATTCATCAAAATATATTTTATCGGGGACTTCCCTGGTGATCCAATGGTAAAGAATCCACCTTCCATAGAGTCTGTCATACAGAGTGAAGTAAGTCAGAAAGAGAAAAACAAATACCCTATGCTAACACATATATATGGAATCTAAGAAAAAAAAAAACAAAGTTCATGAAGAACCTAGGGGCAAGACGGGAATAAAGACACAGACCTACTACAGAATGGACTTGAGGATATGGGGAGGGGGAAGGGTAAGCTGTGACAAAGTGAGAGAGTGGCATGGACATATATACACTACCAAACGTAAAACAGATAGCTAGTGGGAAGCAGCCGCATAGCATAGGGAGATCAGCTCGGTGCCTTGTGATCACCTAGAGGGGTGGGATAGGGAGGGTGGGAGGGAGGGAGGCGCAAGAGGGAAGAGATATGGGAACATATGTATATGTATAACTGATTCACTCTGTTATAAAGCAGAAATTAACACACCATTGTAAAGCAAAAAAAAAAAGAAACAAAAAAAGAATCCACCTTCCAATGCAGGGGACATGGGTTCAATCCACATGCCATGGGGCAACTAAGCCGACGTGCCACAACTACTGAGCTCACGCGCCTCAACCAGAGAGCCTGCGTGCCACAAACTACAGAGCCCACATGCTCTAGAACACGTGCGCCACAACTACAGAGCCCATGCGCCCTGGAGCCTGTGTGCCACAACTAGAAAAGAGAAGACCTGCACGCCACAACGAGAGAGAAGCCCGTGTGCCACAACAAAAGATCCCGCATGCCTCAACGAAGATCCTGTGTGCCACAACTAAGACCCGACACAGGGCTTCCCTGGTGGCGCAGTGGTTGAGAGTCCGCCTGCTGATGCAGGGGACACGGGTTCGTGCCCCGGTCCGGGAAGATCCCACATGCCGCAGAGCGGCTGGGTCCGTGAGCCATGGCCGCTGAGCCTGCGCGTCCGGAGTCTGTGCTCCACAACGGGAGAGGCCACGACAGTGAGAGGCCCGCGTACCAAAAAAAAAAAAAAAAAAAGACCCGACACAGCCTAAATGAATGAATGAATGAATAAATATTTTATCGTTAGGAGTCACTTGAACCTATTGCTGCTGGTAATGCAATTAAAATATTTATCTATTAAATTTTAAATTTCAAAATGCCTATATATGTGAATTAAGCAATTCCAGTTAGAATTTCAAGATATATAAAAATAATTGAAAATACATTTACATGGTCCTGTGAGATAAGTTATATTTTCCCAGCCCACTTGATCTGAAATACACCTTAAATTTTTTTTTTTATTTTGAATTTCAGGCATACAGGAAAGTTACGAAAGCACAAACAATTCCTAGTCCCCATTTCCCCCAGACTCTCGAATGTTAATATTTTACCATATTTGTATATTATGGGTTTTTGTGAGGGTTTTTTTTGCGGTACGCGGGCCTCTCACTGTTGCGGCCTCTCCCGTTGCGGAGCACAGGCTCCGGACGCGCAGGCTCAGCGGCCATGGCTCACGGGCCCAGCCGCTCCGCGGCATGTGGGTTCTTCCCGGACCGGGGCACGAACCCGTGTCCCCTGCATCGGCAGGCGGAATCTCAACCACTGCGCCACCAGGGAAGCCCTATATATTATGTTTTTAAAACCATTTAAGAGCACATTATAGACATAAAGTCCCTTTTTCCCAAGATACTTGTGTTTATTTCCTAAAAAGACAGTCTCTTATACAATCACAATGCAATTATCACTGGTAATAGATTTTATTCAGATGTCTCCAACTGTCCCTCTAATGTCCTTTATTGGGGGTGGGAGTATGGAGCAGTATTGAGAAACAGCTGTCCTCAGGCCAAATCAGAATAGCATTCAGTTTGTTTGTTTTTTTAATTAATTTGAGCTGGAACAGACACACCATTCATTTCCATATTGTCTACGGCTGATTTGGGGATGCAAGAACAGAGCTGAAAAGTCAAAACAAACTCAGTGTGCCCCCAAAAGCCTAACACTTTTATTATCTGGCCTATTACAGAAAACGTTTGCCAACTCCAGCTTTAGAGCACAAGAAAAATTTGTTCCTGCTCCAGGTTCAGTTGAATTTGTCATGTTTAACTTAGTTGTCATGTCTTTTTGGTCTCCTTTACTCTGGTACTCCTCAGTCTTTTTCATGATTTTGAAAATTTTGAAGAGTAGATGCTGTTTATTTGATAGAAATGTCCTTCCATCTGTGTCTGTCTGATGCTTCCTTATGCTTAGATTTAGCTTATGCATTTTTGGCAAGAACCACTACAAAAGTGATAGTATGTCCTCAGGATGCATATGATACTTAGTTGTCCATTATTAGTGATGTTAATTTAGAACGCTTAATTAAGGTGGCACCTGCCAGGTTTCTTCACTGTCATGTTACTGCTTTTCACTTTATAATTAACCATACTTTGTGAAGATATGCTTAGACACTATAAAAACACTTTGTTTCTCATCAGACTTTAAACCAGTAGTTTAAGAATTCACTGATGATGTTGGCCTGAAACGATTATCACTGTAACGGTTGCCAAAATGTGCTTTCCTAGTTCCATGATTCCTTCTACACTTATTAGGTGGAATTCTTCTGTAAAGAAAAGCTATCTCCTCTCCCCCATTTATCGAATTATTTATTTAACTCAGTGTAGACTTCTAAACTGTCCTTTTATTTTATGGGTTTTAATCTATTACTATCATTATTTATTTTGATGACCAAAGTGTCCATGATTTGGCTAAAAGAAGCCTCTTCAAACTGGCTCCCTTTGTGTGTACTTCTGGCATGCCCCTGTCATTCTTTGAGTGACAGCTTTTTTAATAATAGTAATAATGTGGAAATAACCCAAATGGCTATCGGTGTGAATTAAATAAGGAGTAGTGGGAAGACAAGGAAAATCTATGGATACACTAAGGAGAACAAGATAGAAGATCTACAGTTAACAGAACAATGGTAGAGTATGATGCCAGACTTTAAAAAGAAAAAACACAGGTATATGTTTATACACACATACGACTTTCTTGAAAGATACTAACGACACAGGGTAGCATTAACTCTAGGACTGTAACTGTGGAACTGAATGTCTTATTTTTATTTTACAATCACTGATGGTTAGAAATTTTTAAAATCATTTTCAAGACTAACACTTTTAAATTTAACATGTGTAATTAAAATGCATACCGTAAAAAATTACATAATTAGAATATAATATTTATAGTCTCATTTAAAATGGATAATATCTTTGTTTTAAAATTCTTTTCTAAAAGCATTTAAGTATCTTTCAAGTTCCAGTTGTGATCAACAAATTGTGACTGGCTAATGAAGCTAGATATAGGAAACTATCTTTACATTGTAGCCCTTGTTATATTAACTATATAATACTCAATATTAATTCTTGAAAGATTTCATTTTTCCCTTTGAACTGTATCCTCTTACCCTGTTTTTTGAAGGGAGAAAAAGGGGAGATGTGGGGAAGGGAGGGTGGAAATACGCTTATGATCTAGATACCATTATGTGAATAACTTCTTGCAAAGAACACCTAATATACCTTCCAAAATGACAGGATCTAACACTTTTATGAAATGTTTGGGTGAAAGACTAACATAATGCTTACCTAGTAAGTCGTTTAGGTGGAGGCCGCTCACCAAATTTTCTAGAGAAAAAATAAGAAAAAAAAATTAAATAGGCTGTATGACATGCTCCACAGTAAGCTTTTTAGGCACCATGAAGTCTCCTTTATGACTTATACTTCAACCCTACTAAAGTCCAGTGTAAAAAGAAATCCTCTAGTAAACACCTATACCCAGTTATAACAAAATACATTCTTTAAAACCACTCCTAAACAAAACAACAAACTCTAACTAGGCCTGACACATCCACTCTAAGCATGTACCATGCTGATTAGATGAGGATGACTGGTACCTTCCAGAGACACCTTGCTAAAAGACATCTAACCAAAGACCCCCCTGCCCCAGTCTCACATAATCTGGAGCACTCAAAAAAATCCTCACAGCCCAAGAGGTGGTGTAGAGCTCACAAGTGTTTACCATGTGCCAGGCACTATGTTATACATTTTTCCCCCCTTTTAATCATTATAAAATAATTCTGGAAGATACATATTGGCCCATTTTAAAGATGTAGAAAGCAAGTTGCCCAATATCACAGAGTAAATTAAGTGACAGACAGAGTTAAGATTTAAACCTAGATGTTGACTACTTAATTAGTTTATAGCATATGGCCCTTCAAAAATAAATATGCTATATGTACTAGCATAGAAGCATTTCAGTTATTTGGGAGAGGGCAAAGAGAAAAGCATGAGCAAGGATAAGCACAATTTAGGTTGGAATTAGAAATACATACACCATGCAGGTTAAGAGAAAGACTCAGAGTGAGATTAGCTGAATTCAAATCTATGATTTGGTATTGGGTTGGCCAAAAAGTACCTTTGTTTCTTAAGTAAAAATAAAAGACACATTTTTCATTTTCACCAAGAACTTTATTGAACATATTCACTGTTTTGTTCTACTACCTTCTGCCATTTTTCAGGCAACTTCATAATTCCGTTTTCCCAAAACTTTTTATCTTTTTGAGCAAAGAACTGTTCCAGGTCCTTTTACAGTCTTCCAAGGAATTGAAATTTTTTCGGTTAAGAGAATTTTGTAAAGACCAAAATAAATGGAAAACCAAAGGTGCAATGTCTGGTGAATACTCGAATGAATCAGAACTTCCCAGCCAAGCTGTAACAGTTTTTGCCTGGTCATCAGAGAAATGTGCAGCCTTGCGTTATCCTGGTGGAAGATTATGCATTTTCTGTTGACTAATTCTGGACGCTTTTTGTCGAGTGTTGCTATCAGTTGGTCTAATTGGGAGCAGTACTTGTTGGAATCAATTGTTTGGTTTTCCGGAAGGAGCTCATAACAGAGGACTCTCTTCCAACCCCACCATTACACGACATCCCCTTCTTTGGATAAAGACAGGCCTTTGGTGTGGTTGGTGGTGGTTCATTTCGCTTGCCCCACGATCTCTTCCGTTCCACATTGTTGTACAGTATCCACTTTTCATCGCTTGTCATAATTTGCTTTAAAAGTGGAACGTTTTCATTACATTTCAGTAGAGAACCGCATGCGGAAATATAGTCAAGAAGGTTTTTATCACACTATGTGGAACCCAAACATGAAAGCGATTAACATAACCAAGCTGGTACAAACTATTTTCAGGGCTTGATTCAGATATTTTGAGTATGTCTGCTGTCTCCCACGTGGTAGAACATTGATTGTACTCAGTTAAGGTCTCGATTTGATTGCTATCAACTTCAACTGGTCTACCCAACCGTGGAGCATCGTCGAGCGAGAAATCTCCAGCACAAAACTATGCAAACCACTTTTGACGTGTTCGATCAATCACAGCACCTTCTCCATACACTGCCCGAATCTTTTTTTGCATTTCAGTTGCATTTTTGCCTTTCTTGAAATAATAAAGCATAATATGCTGAAAATGTTGTTTTTCTTCCATCTTCAATATTAAAATGGCTAAACAAAAATTCATCAATTTTTTTTTTTTTTTTTTTGCGGTACGCCAGCTTCTCACTGTCGTGGCCTCTCCCGTTGCGGAGCACAGGCTCCGGACGCGCAGGCTCAGTGGCCATGGCTCACGGGCCCAGCCGCTCCGTGGCATGTGGGATCTTCCCAGTTCGGGGCACGAACCCGTGTCCCCTGCATCGGCAGGCGGACTCTCAACCACTGCGCCACCAGGGAAGCCCCAAAATTCACCAATTTTGATAAGTCTTTTTTTAAATGCATGCTGATATGACAGCTGTCACATACAATCTAACAAAATTGTCTCGAATGAAGTTTTAGACAACTAAGCGCTACTAGAGCCATCTTATGGACAAAACTGAACGAACCTTTTGGCCAACCCAATATTTACTTCCTGTGCAGCCCTGAAATTATTTGACTCTCTACACCTCAGTTTCCTTCCTCATCTGTAAAAAGGACACAGTGGTTGTACTGACCTCAAGGAGTTGCTGAAGGGATTAAATGTGCTAATTAACATATAGAAGACACATAGAACAATGCCTGGAATACAGTAAATGACGAATAAATGTTAGTAATTATTACTGTTTTTTAGTTATAAATGGTTATGTCAAAATAACTAAAGATATTAAGTGTGATATTAATAAAGATAAGTATAAGAGGAAGAAACAAATCCCTATGTGATGACCTCCTATTTCCTCTGAAATAAGAAATGAGATCTTCTGAAAGACATGGTGGAGGCACACAGCACTTGAAGAAAAATGATCAATAGAATCTTGTTTTCTTTTTAAAGCAAGACTGCAGTTATAGTTTAAGTGACTTGTTCATAATCACAGTTATAGGTTTGTGAAGCCTAATTTGACTTAAGATTTCTCTACTATATTTGTTGTATTTTACATAATTATTAACTTTGATGACTGAAGTCTTAGATTCCCATGTACTTCCTTTTGTTGAGTAATTTAATGCTATATGACATTGTTTATGGACTCCATTTATAAACAATGGGCATCTGTGACTTTGAATATTTTGGTATTTTAGTTAACTCTAAAATATTGAAAAGTGACTTTAATTGAAATAGCACTAAAAATGAGCAAATAATCCAAGTTTCTGTCAGAAGAATTAATAACAAGTAATTCTCATTGATTTTATCCTATAGGATGTTCAATTTTAAATACAATGATTTAGTAGTAATAAGCAAGGCTGCTGAAGACCGTAGTTTTAAAACACTGAACTATTGGCTAATCTATGATGTGAACTCCAATTATGAAGTTAAAGGCTCTACTCCTGAATCTTTTTCCACAGGAAAGATTTTCTTTTGAACCTTTGAGACTGACTAAATGTACCACTGCAGCATATGATTAAAATAAAACTGCCTCACTAGAATATTTTACAAAAACCAAGAAGTTTAAGACAATCTCTAAATTACTTCTTCACATATGTATTTAAGAGCAGTTATACTTTATAAAAGAAGCAAAGTGAGGTGTGGCCAGAATCTAACTAAGGGCTTAAAATGGTGAAAATTTTAGAGAGAGGCACAGTTAACAAATGAAATAAAACTTTTCAGTGAGAATCACGATGCCACTAACCCTTCAAACTAGCTAATAACTCCAACCATTAAGCATCCTTTGGGATCTAACACAGAATTTAACATAAGTTTATTACACGGCTAGTAAGAGATCCACTGCACTCAAAATACAAATGCAAATTTTGTTTCTTGGTGCTGTGAAATGCTTACAAAATTAGGTTAACAACTGAATGCTGATTAAAATATGTGTCTACATTCTTTTTTGGAGCTACCCATTAGATGAAGTCAACAATCATATAGCATGCTTGTGCAATATCACTCCTGCCCCAATAAAAAACATGAGCAAGAGAACTCAGCAATTTGCCTGCTAAGCCTAAACAGCATTTCAAAAGGATGCAGTGTTCTGTCTAGGTGCTATCCTAAGGCTAGAAAGCTTATAAATGTTAATAAGATTCAACTGGTTCTTCAGTATATAATAAAGCATCTCCAATTGTGTGCAGTCTCAATCCTCTCTTTAATGCATATGCCATCACATTCATAACTATCCCATTAAAAACTAATGGTTGGGGCTTCCCTGGTGGTGCAGTGGTTGAGAGTCCGCCTGCCGATGCAGGGGCCATGGGTTCGTGCCCCAGTCCAGGAAGATCCCACGTGCCGCGGAGCGGCTGGGCCCGTGAGCCATGGCCGCTGAGCCTGCGCGTCCGGAGCCTGTGCTCCGCAACAGGAGAGGCCACAACAGTGAGAGCCCCGCATACCGCAAAAAACAAACAAACAAAAAAAACTAACGGTTACTGCAAATATCATATGATATTGCTTATATATATGGAATCTAAAATAAAAGGGTACAAATGAACTTATTTACAAAACAGAAGTAGAGTCACAGATGTAGAAAACAAACTTATGGTTACCAGGGGATAAGGGGGGAGGGATAAACTGGGAGATTGGGATTGACATATACACACTACTATATATATATAAAATAGATAACTAATAAGAACCTGCTGTATAGCACAAGGAACTCTACTCAATACTCTGTAATGGCCTACATGGGAAAAGAATTTTAAAAACAAAACCAAAAAAGAGCAGATATATGTATATGTATAACCGATTCACTCTGCTGTACACCTGAAACTAACACAACACTGTAAATCAACTATACGCCAATACAAAATTTAAAAAAGAAAACCTAATGGTTACTGTATCTATTAGAATGGGGGAAGGATAAGAAAATGAGGTTTCCGAGAAAATTCATAAAAGTGTTTAGTAGGTTCACAATGCACAATTCTGAAGCTCACAATTGAACTAAATTCTAATTATTCAATAAAATTCATAGGTCTACGTATTTAAAACTGTCATTATACCAAGATACTATATGCACCCTATACTGATCAAGATCCATTTTCCTCTACTAATCTGATGTATTGATAGAATATACAAAACTTCAGGAATTATCTACTACAGAAAGAAGGCCCATCTTCAAACATGAGTGACTTAAGAAAATTCATAATGTATATTTACATTATGCAATCAAAATAACCAGTTTTCAGCAGAAATGACAAGTCAGCTAACAATTACTCAGAGACTGATTATGATTTA